GTTTCCCATTGCTAAGATTTTAAAAACACTGTGTAGCAGATTAGAGACAGTAAATTATAAGCAGAATAAGGAGTACTGATTAGCAGAAACAGCATTTCTTAAATTGGACATCCAGCCAAGATGGAGGTGTAGGTAGATACAATTTGCCTCCTTACACAACCAAAATAAGCACAACAACAAATTTAAAAACAAAAACAGCTAGAAAATCAAACTGTATGGAAGTCCAACAACCAAGGAGTTAAAGAAACATTCATCCAGGCTGGGAGGAGGGGCAGAGACAGGCAACCAGGGCAGAGAGGATGTGAAGCAAAGCAGTGGCTGGAGGACTGGGCAGGCAAGATGGCAGCAGGTGGTCCCATATTTGCGTGCGCATAAACCAGGAGGGACAACAGGGGAGCAAGACAGTCTGCACAACCCAGGGTTCCGGCGCGGGGAAAAGAAAGACTCAAAACCTCTGGCTATAAAAATCTGTGGGGGTTGCAGTGGCATGAGAAACTCCCAGCCTCACAGGAGAGTTCATTGGAGAGACCCACAGGGTCCTGGAAGGTACACAAACCAACACACACAAGAATCAGTACCAGAAGGGCCCAATTTCCTGGTAGGTAGCAGAGGAAGTAACTGAAAGCTGGCTGAGAGCTGAACAAGTGGCATTATTCCCTCTCTGACCCCTCCCCCACATACAGGATCATAATGCAAAGACCTGGGTTGCCCTGCCCTGGTGAATACCTAAGGTTCCACTCCTTTCAGTGTAACAGGTGCCCTGAGACAAAGAAATATGGCCCAAATGAAAGATCAGATCAAAGCTCCAGAAATAGAACTAAGTGACAAAAACATAGACAACCTATCAGATGCGGATTTCAAAACACTGGTAATCAGGATGCTCACAGAAATGGTTGACTATAGTCACAAAATAGAGGAAAAGGTGAAGGCTATTCAAAGTGAAATTAAAAAAAAATATATACAGGGAACCAACAGTGAAGGGAAGGAAGCTGGAACCCAAATCAATGATTTGGAGCAGAAGGAAGAAATAAACATTCAACCAGAAAAGAATGAAGAAACAAGAATTCAAAAAAATGAGGAGAGGCTCAGGAACATCTGGGGCAACTTTAAACGTTTCAACATCCTAATCATATGGATGCCAAAAGGAGCAGAGATAGAGCAAGAAATTGAAAACTTATTTAACAAAATAATGAAGGAGAACTTCCCCAGTCTGGCCAAGGGAATAGACTTCCAGGAGATCCAGGAAGCACAGAGAGTCCCAAAGAAGTTGGACCCAAGGAAGCACAAACCAAGGCACATCATAATTATTTACCCAAGATTAAAGATAAGGATCTTAGAAGCAGCAAGAGAAAAGGAGACATTTACCTACAAGGGTGTTCTCATAAGACTATCAATTGTTTTCAAAAGAAACCTTGCAGGCAAGAAGAGGCTAGAACGTATTCAAAGTCATGAAAGACAAGAGCCTACATTCAAGATTACTCTATTCAGCAAAGCTATCATTTAGAATGGAAGGGCAGATAAAGTGCTTCCCAGATAAGGTCAAGTTAGAGTTCATCATCACCAAACCCTTATTATATGAAATGTTAAAGGGACTTATCTAAGAAAAAGAAGAAGATTGAAACTTAGAGCAGTAAAGTGACAGCAAACTCACAACTATCAACAACTGAACCTTAAAAACAAAAACACACCAAGCAAACATCTAGAATAGAAATAGAATCACAGAAACAGAGATCACATGGAGGGTTATTAGCAGGACGGTGGTGGGGGAGGGGAAATGGAGGAAAAGGACAGAGAATAAAAAACATAATTTGTAGGTACAAAATAGATAGGGGGTAGGGGAGAGTTAGGAATAGTATAGAATAGTATAGGCAATGGCAAAACCAAAGAACTCATACGTATGGCCCACGGATGTGAACAAAGGGTAGAGAATGCTGGTGGGGGGGGTACAGGGCAGAGGGGAATAAAGGGGAGAAAGAAATGATTATGCAACTGTAATAGCATAATCAATAAAATATACTTAAAAAAGAGAAACAAATATGCTGGAGGGAATGAAAAGCAGTAGCTTTAGGGCAAGGGAAAAATAAACTAAAAGTATGGACCAAGATAGAAGGCACCTGGGTTCCTGGGTTTTTGAATTGTCACTTGAAAGGAGAGCCATTTAATATCAGGAACACAAGTTTGGATTTTATGAAAGCAAGAAATAAACTTTTATTGTGTTAAATCATTGAGATTTGAGTGTTCGGTCATGGCAGCTTACATTATCTAACATACAGAAAATGAGACTGGTAGATAATTACAGAAGATACTGAGGTTATCTCAGACAGGAAGGATGAAATGAGCAAGATCATGGGGAAGGGAATACAACACCATTGGCTGAAATGGAATTTTAAAGGGGATTGAAAAGTTAGGTAGGCACCTCAGCTTATGGAGGCTAAGGAGTTTGGACCAGACTTTATCACTGAGGTTGCAGCTGGAAAGATAAGGGAAAATAATATTTCACCTTAGGACAATGAAACCTTGTTGTTTCAGTGGTGATTGAAGCATTGTTCTGGAAAGATTCAGCTGGTGGCAGCGTCTGGAATGGATTAGTTGTGGTGAGCTCAGAGTGGAAGCAGGGCGCTCTTCTCGGAGGCTGAGTGAGTGACGGTGGAGGGCATCAAAGTCAAGGCATTATTAAGTATAACTATGGATGTCTAACTGTGGGAGCACTGAGAAAGGAAAGCAGAAACATAGCTTCCAGGTCTGTATGTTAGTTAAGAGCAGTGAGTAATGTTTGTAATTATCAACTTGGGGCACACACAGACAAAAAGAATGTGATGTTTATCATCTTCAAGAGAGCCAGATAGTATACAATATGCTCTGTGAAGATTGCCATTAAATAGTTAACATAAAAAAAGTCAGCATACGCATGCTCATAAGCTTATTTTATCTTCCTGGACACATTTTCCAGTCTTCCTTACAGCAAGGTGAAAGCATGTAGCTGAGTTCTAGCCAAAGGAACATGAGTAGAAATGACAGAAACCACTTCTAGGTCTATCTGTAAAATACTACATTTGATTTCCCAGCCTCTTTTCTTTTGTGGCAATCTTAGAGTCTACATGTTTCAAATTATGAGGTACCATATGGAAGAATCCTGGATCTCTGAGCCATCTTTTGGACGAGAGCTTTCCAGAATTGTCTGTCACCCACCTACACTGAACCACATCTTAAGAGAGAAGTAACTTTGTATTGTTTTAACCATTCAGATTTTAGAGTGTATTTTTTATAGCAGCATACTTAATCTCTTTCTGAATTACACAATACTTATTCAGTTGGCGAACTTTTATTGAGCATCTAATAATGTTGAAGGGATGAGCTAGCCCTAAAATCAAACTTTATTCATAATATTTCCTGGTGGTATATTTCCATGATACCACTTTTGTAACAAATTTTTATAATCTAGAAATTCATTAAAGTTTTGAAGTCATCTACTTCCTGTTTACTTTCATCCTCCCATTCTTTGGATCTTAGTTATTAAGTTCTGGCTCATGTGTCAGTTTTTTAAACAGGAGAGTTGACAGTGTATTTTGACTTTGTCTTTTATTAAAATCATTTTTGACAGAACTTCTACTATCACGTGAGAGAGACTTAAAATTAAAAAAACTTGTCTCACAATATCTTGCCTGAGATAGTTTTGGGGGTGTTGACAGATACAGTTTAGAGCTTCTTTTGTTTTTCCTTTATCTGACAACCAGTTACCTAATGATGCCAAAACATCTGCCCACATGAACTGAAGATCATGATTTAAAACCTTTATCACCTTGGGAATTTCAGCTCTGCAACAATAGTTAGAAAATCTGAAATTTTTATTGAAATGGATTTATGTGTCTTCTCTCTGTCAGATTCATCTTCACATTTGAATGTGAGAGTCTGATAGGAACATTCATCAAAAAATAATTTAGCTTCCAATGGACTTTTAAATCCTCATCACTATTTTCATTGAACAGTGTCTGGATAATGATCAGGTACCATTCTTAGTATGGAAACTGTAGGTAGACCTGACACTGTTGATCCTAATTAGTAACATTTTGTGCTTTTATTGAAATGAAGTTCTAAGTGGGTTGGGAGGTGATAACTAATATCCAATGTTAACATTCTACGCCAAATAAAATCAGTGTTATTATTTTTACAATAGTAAATATACTGTGCGAACATATAAAATTTGAAGGAGTATAGAAAAACACATGGGAAAGAACAGAATAATATCCCAAAACCTACTAAGAAAAGAGCACTGTTGTTAATAATTTGGAGAGGATCCTTTAAACCTTTTCTATTCACAAACAAAACACACATACACACAAAGGCAGCAGACAGTTTTATATAAATAGAATCACACTATAGATATTTTTATAATTTAAATTTTCACTCATAAACCTGACATGGATGTTTGTTTGTCAATAAATCTAGAGCTACAGAATCATTTTAAGGGCTATAAATTTGCTTGCAGAAAAATACTACATAACCAGTCTGCTGTTGATGGACATTCAGGTTGTTTGCAGTTTTTCACTATTATAAAAAAAGCTGCCATCAACTTACGTTTGAATTTTTATGAGTAGTGTAAATCGTTATGTTGAAATTGCTGGGAAGAAGATAAGCACATTTAATATTTCCAAGTTTAATATTGCTTAAAGAAAAGTGTATTTATCATTTTGGCTAATGCATTGGAAAGACAGTGGTGTGGATGAATACATTTAAAGGGACAGAAAGAAGGAAATTCACTCTTCTCCTCTATCAAGATTAAGTCCAAAGTACCTCACATAGGTGAGAGAAAGTGTGTGTTGTTTCCAAAGGCAATTCTGTGGGTCTTTAAAAATCTTTCTTTGTTATGGAGCCTTGTATTACAATGCATAAAAATATTCAGTGCATCAGGAAATTTACCAAAGTAGAATCCAAGATGTAAATTTATTTATTTATTTTTAGTATACAGTTTTTATATTTAGAATTAGCCAGCTGGACTCAGTTCAGATGATCCCTATTTTGTTGGCAACATCCGTAGCACTGTAGTTTGGAGCCAGTTGAAAATATACCTTCTTCTCCCCATCAGGCCTGATCAGGGTGTTGATCTTGGCCACGTCAATGTCATACAGCTTCTTCACAGCCTGTTTGATCTGGTGCTTGTTGGCCCTGACGTCCACAATGAACACGAGTATATTGTTGTCTCCTACTTTCTTCATGGCTGACTCAGTAGTCAGGGGGAACTCGATGGCGGCATGGTGGCCAAGCTTGTTTCTCCTGGGGGAGCTCTTCTGAGGATATTTAGGCTGCCTTCGGAGCCGCAGGGTCTTAGGCCTCCAGAAGGCAGGTGACATGCAGATATTTTTTTTGGGCTGTGGATGCCTTTTAAAAGGCACTGCTTCCTTTGCCTTCAAAGCCTTTGCCTTGGTTTTGGCTTTGGGAGGCAGAGGGGCCTCCTTCTTCACTTTGGGTACCATCTTTGTGAAAAGGCTAAGATGTAAATTCAGACAGAGTGAGTACAAGAAGAGGAAGGACTTTGTTGGAGGAGAATAATGTCATAACCCATTTACAATTCATCCTCCTTCTTTTGTTCCAAGTCAGTCTGTGGAATCACTCATGACACCAGGCCAGTTGTGTGTTGTGAAGTTACCCATGGTTCCCATCTGGCTGCTTCCCAATTTATTCCCATGCCTATACTGAAGAAAAAGATGCCATTAGATGTATTTATTTCCTCATGTTGGTCCTTTGCTTCACTTTAGATAAGTACTCTGAAAAGTCAAGCTGGAAGAAGTTAGGGTAGAGACCATAGAATTTGGAGTCTGTGTTAGTCAAGGCTATGGTGACAACCAAACCACAAAATCTATAAAGTCTTAAGGGATTAACATAATGAAAGTTAGTTCCTTGCTTTCAGAGAGTTTAACGCACATCTCAGGGTTCCTTCTGGCCATTCTCTTCCACGTGCTATCGGCTGGATCTAAGCTTTTTTCCTACTTTGAGATTTAGCTCTCTGTTCTCAACTCATGGCTTCCAGAGTTGCCACTCTTAAATGCCTCAGGTCAGAAGTGACACACATCTTTGTCATTTGCTGATAATTTGCCCTGCTCCCAGCCCGTTGACCAGATGACCTCAGCCTAACTGCGTGGAGGCAGGGAAATGCAGGGCGGCACACAGACTATTTAGTGAGCACTGCTGTTTGGAGCAGTCAGCCCTGAAATTGATTCATAGTTCTGCTTCTTACTGCTTTGTGAAGTTGAGCAAGTTTATTAATGTTTCTGTGCCTCAGTTTCCTCATTTGTAAAACTGGGATCAGAATACTTCTTTCACACAGTGTTGAATGATATAATGTATGTTAAGATGTATAGCAAGTTCTCAAGAAAAGAAATTATAGTTACTAGTATTAGTAGTAGCTTCCCTGATAAATGAATATAATTATAACCAAGCAGGGCTTGAGTTGTTATAAAGAATGTGCATGAGATGATCAGGGGGAGACAGCTTGCTTCCCGTAGGTTGACAAAGGAAAGCTTCATGGTGGAGAAGGCATCTGAGTTGGATTCTAAAAACTCTGATCTTTCTCCTTGAAATACCTAGAGAGAGAGAGAGAGAGAGAGAGAGAGAGAGAGAAAGCTGTCTTTCAGAGTCTGGAACATTAGGGGGAAGAAAATTAGTGCTGAGGAGATTTCAGCATGATGACCTGAAATAAAAAACAAATTATGAGCAAGTGACAAGTAAGCTGGTATTATTTATGAGTCAGTAGCCTGTGCTTTATCAGCAAAAGATTTCAATCCTGTTCCATTATTCTTGGGTCTGCTATGAGGCTGGGCAGGAATCATGCCTCTCTGAGTGAGGGCTTCCTCAGGGTTGAACTTCCAAAGTTCTCAGTTGGAGGGGAGGAAACAAGCCTCTGAGGAGGAGCCTGGTTCTCCCATAAAATGTTTGAAGCACACTGATAACTCGATTTATTTACACCTTTTCAAACAAAAGAACTTTGCTGAGCTCAGCTGTAAGGACAAAAGGTAAGTAAGGCATTTTGCTCTTTATGGAAAGAGCCTGGTCCCTGGCTCTCTGATCTTTGATTTTAGAGCTCAGCTCTGATCTTTGCACTTCTTGGTTTAGAGGACTTGTAAAGTCTCTCTTCTCTGGTTTGCTTGACTCATCTTCCCCCTCAATGCTTGGCCTTGCTTATTGCCCCCATTTTGAGGGTCCCCACAACTTTTAGTGAGAGGCGAGCTCAACTGGCCCCTGTCTCAGGGGACCCCTTCGGCCTGGCTGAGCCCTGGAGACTCCCTCCCAGCTCGATCCCAGGAGGCTCAGTCTGTTGGCAGGTGGTGGTGTCGAGAGGGAATGCCATGTGTCAGCCAGGCTGCCCGTGTCAGAATCCTGCGCCTGCCACTTACTGGCCAAATGACCTTAGTTAAGATACTTAACCTCTTTGTGCCTCATTTTTCTCATCTGAAAAATAAGAAACAATAATAATAGTACCAGCCTCATGGGTATGTTGTGAGGTTTTAAAAAGGATTAAGTTGAATGAGTAAATGTGCATAGAACAGCGCCTGACCCATAATAAGTGCTTAATGATTTAATTTGTTATTATTTATTATTTACAATAAGGGTGCTCTGGGAAGCAATTGATTTGGCCTAAGAGAGTTGGGAAAAGCTCCACAGAAATGATGATAATTGAACAGAGTGTGGACTGATAAGTGATTTCACAGAGAAGGGTGTGGAAGGAGGGCAATGTAAGAGAGGCAGGAAGGTGCACGGACTCAGGTACGAGAATAAAATAGGAAGTTCACTCCGCGTGCAGCGCTGGGTAAACGGTGATGGGAGCAGAGCGGAGGCCGCAGGCTGGGGAGGCGGGACGAGGGGTTATTGAGAAGGACTTGAATGACAAACCAGTAAGCTGGTCCCTTTCTTCTAGGAAACCGGAAGCCAACACACGTTTAGGCAAGGAAGTGATTATGGTCAGGTCTGTGCGATTGCAATGGCTGTGGTTTGAAAGATGGATCCAGCGGGCTGGAGTGTCGGCGGGGAGTCCCACCGTGACTTCATTAAAGCCAGGGGGAGAGATCATGTGAGAACTTTATATAATGGGCCATTAATAATACCTGCTCTCCCTTTCCCTATTTTTCTGTTAGGTTTTTGGATGGTGTATGAGGTTTTTGTTTTGGGTTTTCTTTTGGTTTTGGTTGCTTGTTTATTTTGTCTTTCCATTATTTTTATGTTTTGTTACAAAACCATTATATGAAAAAAGTTAGTCCTTATACTAATAATTCACAGCATAAATCCAATACATTGCTTTCTCTCCACTCACCCACTGTGTTAGTCAGCTTGAAACCTCAAGAGCCAGCGTAGACTATGACAGGTTAAAATATAAGCACTGTAGCTTTAAGTATGCATGGGCTTCAGTGGCCCCTGAATGTGGCCTTCCTCGGCTTCACTTGTCACACCATTAGCAATATCCCTGGGTGAGTGACCTAGGGTTATGGATTAAATTTTAAAAACCATCTTGGCATTTTTCTGCTTGCATAGGTTGGACTTAGACTGAGCTTTCATTAAATATTTAATTGTATTTGGTTTGCTGCAGGGCAAAGTCTGAAAGAACTCCAAAATGGTCTTCTATTTTCACAGTTCACCTGCGCTTTTTGTTATTCTCAAATAAAAGGCTCCTGCCTTCAGACACAAAGTTATTTCAAGAATTTTACTATCTTATGCCCTCCTCAAGTGTTTTGAATTATGTTACCTACAGAACTAATCCATCAAGAGCTTTGTAAAAATCCTGCACAGGTCTGGAGAGTGTCCAACTGGAATCTGAAGCCACATTTCCTGTCCACTTCATCCCTTCATTTATAAAGCTCATGTTTTAAAAACTTTTCCCTTGCTTCACACCTTCAGAAAAGGTAGCAAAGCTACCCATGGTTTTAGAAATTTCTTTTCTCAGAGGTTAGAGCAAAAACCTACAAAGACAGGAGAAAATCCTGGCAGAGATCTTTATTTTAAACACATTTTTATTTGGCTGAGAATCAGTTTTCCTTTTCATTAATACTTAATAAAAGGTTTTTAGAGTTGACCAGTTTGTCCCTCTTTGAAACATTCCTCTTCATTAAAAAAGTCCTTAGAATTGTTCAACCCAACCTGAATAGTAATGGGGTACTTTTTGCTTGAGTCTACAGAGTAGGAGAAGGTCATTGGTGTTGCACCAAGAGTGGGTCCTCCAGAGGCAGTAAATTAACCTGGTGAAACCACTACCAGAAGTGGCTTCCACCCTCTTCCCTGCCTTCTTTGGAGGACTGTTGGGGTTTTCAGTGGACTTTCTGGAAGACCTCCAGCTGACACTGAGGAGTTCTTTGCTGTAGTAGCTTTTGTGAATCCCCCTGGGTGTGCCAGAAAGATCCAAGGAATTAGAGATCATCTGTGCCTCCAAAATCAATAGGGGTCCCACTTAAATTTTCTTTTCTTTACCCCTGCATTGCCATCTTTCTTTAGACAAGAGCCCTTAGTTTACTTGCAATCAGCCTCTGGAGGGTTCTGGAGAAATATGAGAGCTGTCTTCAGATATTTGAAGGGTTTTCAAGTGGAGGAGGATGTAACATATTCAATATACAGCTCTGAGTGACAATACCAGGATAAGTAGGTAAAACATGTCAGGAGGCAAACGTTTCCCCACTGTATGTTCTTCAGGTCTGCGAATTCTAATGGGTGCTGGGGTTGGAGCGTCCAGTTTCCCGGGGTTAAATAAATTAGGAAATGCTGTGTTAATACCGTTACACAGATTTCTTTATCAAGGCTAATGAGCATTGTAAGTATCTAATAGCAGCATATAATATGTGCTTATTTGACCATGGAATATTTTTCATGGAACAGCCTAAAGACCAGATGCTCTTCACAGAAGCACTAAGAAAGTGCTCTATGGCCTAACATGAGAATAAGTCTTACTGTTCTATGTTAGAAGCCTTAGATGTGAGTTCTAGCTGCAATCAATGGCTTTGAGACCTAAACACAAATATAAACATCTTGGGTTTAAGTTTATTTGTAAAACAGGGAGTAGAACTGAATATTTCTGAGGTCCCTACTGCCTCTAAATTGCTACATGTGGCATTGGAACTTATTAACCCTCCCATCTGTTGAGGTGTTCACATATGAATTGGACCCCATTTGATGAAGGGCACGTAGCAGAAGGCATTCACCGTGGTTGTAAAACATTTATTGACATACCACTTCTAGAACCTTGACAAAAGACTATTTTCAGGTGTTTCTTTTCTGATGTTGTACACGGCATTGTCAATATTCCTATTATGTGAGCTGCAAAACAAAGTTAATAATAGTGCTGATTATACTGCAAGGTAATTGGGACTTTAAATATTTATTAAGTAATCAAAGATAGGTTCAAAGATATACATTATTTTGTTAGAATATGGCTGTTATGGTGATAATATTATGGTGACTCATTTTAGTTTGGAATTTCAAAGACTAGAAGAGTTTCTATTATTAACAT